AATAGACTGTGGCAGATTGGAGCTGCATTCTGAGACACACCAGCAAACACAGCTTATTTCTCCTGCTACAGCTCTCTTCTGGTGTGGCTCACAGAGGATGATGGAGAACATTACCAGGTTCCTTTTCTTATAACCAGAATAACTCAAACCAGAACTGCTTTCATTCATCTGAATATGTAGGATTCAAAAGTTTTTCCCTCTGTAATAAATAGCCAAGGAGAGGGCCAGCTTGTGGTTTATCTAAGAAACTACCTCCAGGGAAATGAGAAATAGCTGCTACTTCTGATCTCTCACATAAAACTGAAGAGGTTCCACCTGTTACAGGTTTCTAACACCATCTGCTGTTTAAAAATAAGACAGCATTTGAGCACAGAAGCCCTAAGAGAGTTTGTGCTTGTTTGGTAATGCAGAGGTGACACCAGCTAATCTAGCAAGCTCCTGTAACATTTCACTTCTGTTCTTTCGAGCCCTGAACATATTTTGACTTGATCTTAATTATGAAGTGAATTATTTTTTCACTAGAAGACCCCCAAGCCCAACGAGCAGCAGCTGAAAGCCAAATTCACACTGCAAAACTTACATCTTCAGCCTCAGTCATGGCACCTCATCCATCTATTCCCTGCTGAAGCAGATTTTGAAGCAGTGTGATCCCACTCCAGAGCCTGGCCCAAAGAACCTACTTAAACCCTTTTTCTTAGGAGAGAGCCATAGCCTTCATGGGGCATGAGGAACTCAAAGAAAATTGTTGTTTCTCTTAAAAATATTTACCTTTTGCTGTCTCACACTGCTGCCTGTAGGATGGGATAATCCTACCAAGGATCCTGTTACTGCTGCCTCCCTGAAAGTGATACCAACTTTTATCCCAGGAAGAGCAGCAGAGCCCTGGAGTTCATTACACACCTAAATCAAAGGACTGACCACCAATGCTCCTAGTTTGTGTCAAATGTCTTAAAAAGCAGGGAGGTATTCTTAATAGCAACACTTTTTATGAAAAAACAGAGTTGTCTCCAAATAGGTCCCTGTGGAGCCCAGCCACCCCCTCCAGGACAATGCAATAGTTTTATCCCTGCAGGTTTAAACAAAAACAACCCCAAATCTTCAAGTCTGGTACCAAACAGAGGATGCACTCTGTGACCCTTCTCTAGTCCCATCACATCAGCCCCTTTCCAGCATCACCCTCTGTATGCAAGAGCCATAACCCCTCCACAGGCATCATTTAAAGAGTCGGTGGCTCCCTTTGTCAGCGATCAGCTTCTTCCCCCAGCACTTTGCACGTGCTCCTCGACAAAAGAGACCTTTTACATGTCAATTTATTTTCAGACAAGCATATCTGAAAGGGAATTCCTCTCCAGAGCAGAATTAGTATCAATGGCAGGTGTTCCAGTGTGGCACAAAAGGAGGAAGGCAGCAAGTTAGCTCAGTGTAAAGACTAAGACAGCTTGATGTTTTAATAACCACGGGCAAGAAAACGGCCTGGCAGTGGACCTCCAGCTTTCATAGCATGAGTGAAGGTTTTATTCAGAGCCCCCCTATGTACTTGCAAAAGACCTTGAAATATTTAAAGTGTTTTCTTTGCAGTCAAAGAGGGATTAAATTGTTGAATATTCCATGAAACTGCAGCGCCCGCCCCACATACATCCAGCACACGTGGACTCACCCAGTACTTCCAAAACCTCCCACGTCCTTCAGAAGGCAGCAGGGGCTGCCAGGAGGAGATGGACACTGGCTGCACCATTCACTGCCCACAAAAGACCCAAGAAAAAGACTGAGATGAACAAACTCAAAGGTGAGGACTTGGATCCGTTTGCGTTAGTTGGATGGGGAGTTAAAAAGCTCATCGGCTGCTCTGTGAAGTTTCACTAAGAAAAAGCTGATTGCTGAGAAAGTTACTGGCCTTCAGTTTTAAAGACAGCCTAAATAATCACGATGGGAATATCTATCAGGCCAAACCACATTTGTTTATGCTCTGTTTAATTTGGCAGAGGTCAGAACCACATCATTAAGAGGAAGGCACAATTACTTTACACAGTGGGAAGAAGGAAAACTGCCTCTCACCTGGGTCAACCTCGTTTACAACAGCAAAACTGCTGATTTATGCCCCCAAACAGGGAAGTTTAGCTGTTCTTACACAGAAGCTGTACTGTATAAAGAGAACTGCTCAATATTATTCTCAGGCTCCTTGTCTAGATCAACACACTACTTCTACACAGGTTAATTCCAGGTAGGCTCAGCTATTCGAGGCTGGATTCCAGGATTTCTGCTCCCTTGAGCTTCCATATAGATGTACAGGACAAGAATCTTAAAGGTCAAGTCGGCTGTTAAACACCTGAAATAACACAGGCAGCTTTCCTTGTAAAGATTTCCTTATGTATGACAATTAAAGACATTTTTGTCCCTTTTCAAATCAAGACAGAAGCAAGCTATGTGTCTGTTTTGTCCCCAGTTAAAGCTGAATGACCTTAAACTCTTGTGAGAGCAGATTGTCTGGTCTTCTCTAAGACTCCTCTTGTTTATCCCCAACAGGCATTAGAGACCCAGCCTGCACAGTCCCCACTTTCCCCTCAAATAATGCAGTTTCAGTTAAGGTGACAGCAGTTGGTCTCAACTGTATTTTGGTAAAGATTGAACACAAGATAAAACCAGAAAAGGAATGAGGGGACCCACCTGACCCGTGACAAACACTGAACAGCTCTCATACACAGAAAGACCAACAAGTCCATCTTTATTGAGCACTTGAATTAAAAAAAGTAACAGCACTTGGTCAATTTGGAACTAAAAATCAAGACTTAGTTTTACTTAGCGAAAGATCACTCAAAACAACTTGGTTAAAAGCACCCCAGAGAGCAAGGTGTAGCCCTTCTTGTTCACTCTGTTCTCCACAGTGTTGGAGGTCCCAGAAGCTACAGCTCCACCAAACACAAAGTTCATCACGTTGAGGACCCCAGTGAGGTGGAGGGGTTTGATGCTCTGCAGGGTTTCACTCTCTGGGTGTCAGGGTTTGATGCTCTGGACATTGTCTCATGGCCAGGCAGAGCTGCACCAACCGTGGGCTGCTCTCCCTGTGCCTGGTTGTCCTACACATCTCTGAGTTGTCACTAGCTGACCTCACACTGCCACTATTACAGGGAGGATTAACCAAAGGTTGTAATGTTTTTCCTGACTGATATTTAAAAACATTTAACAATTTCATACCACCAAGCCAGCTACCATCCAAGCAGGGGAAACATTTGGTTTAAGACCCATCCTGACTCATGCCATACTGTTGAGAGGTTCACAGTGATCACCACCACCACGTCCAACCCCATCCACCATTTCCAACCCCACCCTTCCAGTGCAACACAGGAAATCCTCTGAAAAACTGTCGAGGTGTCTGCTTCAAACACAACAGCACCCAAAGGGACTGACTCCAGCTCCAGAAAGAAGCTCTTGATAATTACTGTATCTTTCAGGTACCTAAAAATTTCCAAACCTTCTCCCTGGCACAAGAGCTGCTGCGTAGTTGTAGGAAACATAAGGCAGGTTCATGGCACCAATGCAAACATCATTGCAGAGAAGAAAGCAAGTCATTATAAGGAAGGCATTTTGTGTGGTGGGGTGGCCCCCTCCCCAGCTATCAGCAAAACATTCAATCTGGCTCTGCTGGAGGTCACTGGGAAACCCAGTGAGAAGATCCAGGGTGTGCTGGATCCTCCTCTCAGCAGTGCTGGACAATAGGGCAGTACTTGGAATAAACCCAGAAAAAATCATGACTCTGTCAGGTTCTTGTTGGCTGCTCCAGGGGTTAGTAGAGAACCTGCCTGGATGAGGGTGGAGGAGGAGAGAACTGTGTATCTCAGAGAAAAATTTTAAATTGAATTCTCTGTTTTAGTCAACTTTGACACAAAGCAGAAGGGGAAGAGCAAAAAAAGGAAGTTCCCCCTCTTGTTAGACAATCAGCCAAAAGCAGCAGAAGTTCATGAGAACCTTTGCTGGCTTCAGTCACACGAGCACCTGCAGTCCCTGTAGCTCTCCTGCTCCTCCCAAGAAACAGCCACCACCAAAACAAGGAGCTCCAGCAATTCCCTGCAAGTCAGAATGGGTCAGGAGTTTATTTCTAGCACAGTTTGCTCCCAAGTGTTGGTTTCTATTAGCCCTAAAATGTCCTGAGAGCCAGAAGTTCCCCTCTGCAGCCTGCCACCTCTCCTGCTGATCACTGGCTTGTTCCATGACTGGTTCTCATCGCTTCCCCACTGCAAAGGGAGGTTTGCACCTGAGAGAAGGTGGCAGCATCTGCAGCCCTGCTGCTGGTTTTCCCATCACAGGCAGGGAACACGAGGCCTGTAGGATGCAGGGAAACGACTGGCGTGGCTTCTTCTGCAGCTAAAAGTCAGTAAAATAACATCAACTGAACGACACTTTTATTGTACAATTCGGAAAGAAACCCTGAGTTACCAGCTGTAGAATAAAGTTAAGTTATAAAAAAAAAAGGATAGTTTGTTTCATAGGTCCCTGCTGAAGTAAAGGAAACCCCAAAATGGTAAAAGCAGCAGCCAGAGCCAGCCCAAAGCCTCAGCCTTGTTCAAGGAGAAGGTTCCGTTGTCATCTCCACCTCCATGGGTGACAGACTCCCCAGGGAGTGATGGGGAGAACATGGTGATGGGAAGGCAGAGGGGAGGAATGAGCCAAACCTGGCAGCTGTTCTGGACAGCCGAGTATCTAAGGGGGTGTTTGGGAGACCTGTGGTTTATTTTGTTCAGAGAACTGCTGGCTGGGGGAGGGCAGGAGATGGGGAGAAACAGAGGCTGAAAAAAAATCAACCTTACATTCTGAACAAACACACACACAGAGTAAAGTGAGGGGGAAGGAAGAAGAGGGAATTCCTTCACCAACACGAGTGCTGCTGGCTGGGATTCGGCAGGGTGGACTTTGGGAAGGGCATAAAAAGGTTCATGGGAGCAAAAATCCCAAAGCCTAAACCCCAACCATTATGCAGTCATGTTGGAAAGGATTGAGTCCAAGACATGATATAGCTACAACAAATATCTGGCCCTACACAGGAAAGGGTGAAGCAGAGCTGCTCTTTAGTGCCACTTGACATCGTACATTCTAGTTCTCATATACACAGATGGAGGTCTTTAAAAATCAACAATTTACACTTCAAAAAAAATTTTACAGTGAAGTTCTCTCAGCAAAGATCAGTCCACACAAGGAGGAACCAGTCTTTCAGAAACAACAAGGCACTTGGCCTTTTGAGAAGAAGTCCTTGAGGGAGCTCCTGGGCAGGCAACGACCACCTGATCTCCTGCTCCCCATCTTCAGTGGGTGTGCAAAGTCGGGGGGGGCCCTGCCCCGTGCTGTGGGGTGCAGCCCATGGCCCCAGCCTCACAGGGTGGTGGAAGGAAGCTTCTTCACCCGCCTCTGGGCCAGGATGGAGGATTCGATGGGCTTCAGCTGGGGGCTTGGCTTGGAGCTGTTGAGTGCAGAGTACGTGGCAGCCATCGCCCCCTTGGAGAGAAGGTACCAGAAGTCACTTAGGTGTAGGAGAGGTTATTTCAGGCTCACAGCTTTACAAGATGAGGGACCAGAGTAGCCAGACCCACACACAAACCAGCAGCATCTTTCTGCTTTCTTTAAATCTCCCTCCCCTACTGACATGCCATTAAAGAACCTCCCTAGGTTTCCCTGCCAAAAAACATGTCTTGCATTGCCTCCTCCAGCCCACTCCTCTCCAAGCATCCATCCTGCTTTGCCCCCACCTGGATCACTGCTTTCCAAGAGCCCAAAGTACACGAGGAACCAGCTGAAGGCCCAGCCCAGACTTTGTACCTTTACAAGCTGAACGTCCTGGTGGTTCAGCTGGCTCTGGGGTAAGCTGTCCTTCTGGGTTATCCAGGGGTGCTGCAGGACCTGCTTGGCTGTGAGACGCTGGTGAGGATCTACGTGAAGCATCTTTGATACCAGATCCTAAAGGCATCATTTGGAAAGTTAGACTGTAGAAGACTTTAAATGCAAAAATACTGCCTGTCCCTCCCCCAGTTTGGGATTTAAATTCAGAGGCCATGTTTAGAATCCTCAGACATCAATTCCCTTTTGTATAAAATATGTTTTTGGTAGGCCTGGGAGGTGCAACACAGCAGCAAACCTTCCATGGGTCAAGCATGAGGTTGGTATCCCCTGGAAATATTCACAGCCAGCACTAAAACAAAGCTGTGAGAAGCTGCTGAGCTGCTACAGGGAGATTTGTACAGGGCAGAAGCTACACTGCTGGTTTTCTCCTTTCTTCTGTCCTCCCTCCCTGACCTGTTTCCCACTTGCCTCACAGCCACTGGCCATGCTTGACCCCAACCCTTCAACGTGACACAGATGAATATCAACCCATACCTTGGCCATGTCAGAAATAGTGTCCCAATTGCCTCCACTGATGGAGAACTTCCCCCCACCTATCCGGGTCAGGATCTCTTCTGGAGTGTCACTGGGACCATTTGCAAACGGAGTGCAGCTGGGGAGAGAGGAGAGAGCCTTTGATTTGTTGTCCTGTGACCCAGCCAGGGAGCAGCTCCAGGTACCAGTGACCAAGGAGGAGAGGTCTGACTGCCACTGAGAGCGAGTGGTCACAGCCCCAGCTGCTGCCTTCCAGTGGGACAGAGGTGCTCACCCTGCCAGCATCGTGTACAGGAGAACTCCCAGGCTCCAGATGTCACAGCCCTCGTCGTAGCCTTGGCGTTTCAGGACCTGGACAGAACAGGCAAAGGAGACAAGAAAAAGCGTTTGGTTCTTGTTGAGCTCAGTTCAGCGTGTGAAGAGCAGCTCGACCCCGCTGTGTAGTCTGTATGTAAAGCTCCTAGAACCCTGTGGAACAGCAAAGTCTTGGACCAGGATTCAGATCTCGATCCTTGGATCAGGATTCAAATCAGATTTAGGTGTCATGGGACAGAGGAACCCTGCAGGCACACCCAAATGACAAGTGACACAACCGTGTTCCAGCGTGGTGACGCTGCACACGTGCTCCATGGTGTGCTGGCTCTTTTTCTTTCTTCCACTCCAAGACAGCTGAGTGGAAAATCATCCCACCTCTGTGAACAGGTCAGTTAATCAGGAAGAGAAGCAGCCTAGAAAGCCACTGGGATTTTAAAGCCTCATTACCCTAAGCAGAGTCCCCCATCAGGGCAGTACAAGCTGGAGGACTGCACTCGAGATCCCCCATCTGCTCATTCCCAGAGGTGACAGTTCTGGCACTGCTTGTTCCAGGGCAGGCTGGAGTTAGGAACAGGGCAGAGCTCCCTGTGCCTGAGTGGGAGCACAGGCTGGGGAGGGACAGGAGAGCTACCAGAGGGTCTCAGCTCAGCAAGGCACTTACCTCGGGTGCCACGAAGTTTGCTGTGTAGCAGGGAGTCATCAGAAGGCCATTCTCAGCCCTCAGCTGCTTGGCAAAGCCAAAGTCACAAATGCGAATGCTTTCAGGGTTTCCTGACTCGTCCACGTAGAGAATATTGCTGGGTTTCAAGTCCCTGTGAACCACCTGTGGAGCAGAGGGAGCCCAGGAAGACAAAGCTCTGAAGCTGCACCAGGACACTCGATCCCTGCTCTGGCCCCACGGCTGCCTTGCCAAGGCAGCAACGCCAGCAAGAAATAACAGTCCTGACAGGCACAGTTACTCCCTGGAGGAGAGGGAGTGTGGTGCAATGCCAGCTTCCCAGGAAAGCAGATGGGACCACACTCACCCCTTGGGAATGCAGATACTCCACTGTTTTACAGATCGTGTGCAGGACTGAACTGGCTTCCCTCTCGGAGAAGAATTTCTGTCGCAGGATTTTATCCAGCAGCTCCCCTCCCCTCATCAGCTCAGTCACCAGATACACGTACTTCCCATCGTCGTACACCTACCAGAGCAAATAGGGAGGGGGGTTAACCCAAAACTGCTCCCAGAGCTTCACTTTTTACTTCTGCCACTAAGAAACAGGCAGAAATCAGTGACGCAGAGGTGGGTCTGGAGATCCTTCCCCACCCCAGATACACTGAGCAGGGCTGTGGGGCTGCCTGTGCTGGAGCTGCCCGTGCTGGAGCTTCCCTGTGACCCCTTCCACCAGTCTGGGCTTCCTAAACCCAAGACAGGGACGTCACTGAAGCCACACTCACGTCTTTGAGGGTGATGATGTTTGGGTGCTGCCCGTACCGCAGGAGGATTTCGATTTCCTCAGAAGGGTCTCGCTTGCTCTTGTCAATAACCTGCAAGAGTTGGGACAAACATCTGCTGTGATGGGCTGGGAAAGGGGCCAGGACAGAGCAAACAGAACATCTGGAACCCTGCAGAGATTCTGCACCACAGCCACTCTCCATCCCCTGCTCTCTTTAGCAATAAGCTCTAGAGATCCCCATCATCAGTTCTGTGTCCCCAGACCTCAAAGTTTCATGTCTGGCTTAGTGGTTAAGAGCTGACACAGCCCCAGTGAGCCTGCCCAAGGAAGGTGAGCTTCTGTCCTCCCTCTGGGAGAGGAGAGCTCTGCTCCCCACTCCTCCTGAGTAAGAAAGCTCGTGCAGGTACATGCACAGAAACTGCCCATTTAGGCTCTGTGCAAGCAAGGAACGCGACTGCAGCCCTGGATGTTCTTTTGGTCATGATGGACATGAAAAAGAATCTAGCAGGGGAGCTGAGTTCAGGTGGGAAACCTCAGACCTTGACGGCGTACTCCATGTTGGTGGCTTTGTGGACACAGCGTTTACACACTGAGTAGGAGCCCACCCCAATTGCCTCCTTCACCACGTAGCCGTCGTTGAACTGGACGTTCTTGCCGTGCAGCTGCTGCAGGAGGAGAGCAGAGAGATGAGCTGGGAGGGTTCAGGGAAAGGTTTGTGCAAGATGATGAGTGAACTGGAACAGAGAGCGAGCTGACAGACTGCTGTCTGCTACATCCCACAGCTTCTCCAGGCTGGGGAGAGGGAGGAGAAGGGAACGTGGCAGATATAGGTCAGTGGGCTAAAATTATCTGCATCTAGCACCGTGCATTTCAGTGGCACTTTTCTACCCATGGGCATTTACACAGATCTCCCACTAGCACGGGTCCACCTGGGGAGAGGAGAGGGAACAGACTCACATTGCCCTGGTGACCTTTGCACAAGTCACTAGAAATGGGAGAACAACAGGATGCAAGAATTCAAAACAACGACACTGCCTCAGGCTTCCCAATACAATCATGGAGTGGTCTGGGTTGGAAGGGACCTTGCAAGGTCATTTAGTCCAACCCCCCTGCAGGGAGCAGGGACATCTGCAGCTAGAGCAGGGTGCTCAGAGCCCCAGACAACCTCCCCTGGAATGGTTCCAGGGATGGGGCAGTGACCACCTCTCTGGGCAGCCTGGGCCAGGGGCTCACCACCCTCAGCAGCAAACATTTCTTCCTTCTCTCTAGTCTAAATCTCCCTCTTTTGAGTTTCAAACCATCACCCCTTGTCCTGTCCCAACAGGCCCTGCTCAAAAGTCTGTCCCCAGCTTTCTGACAGGCCCCTTGTAGTCCTGGCAGCCACCAGAAGGTCTCCCTGGAGCCTTCTCCTCTGCAGCTGCCCAACCCCAACTCTCTCCTGCTGGGCTCCCCGCAGGCCACCCTCAGATCATTAGCTCTGCTCCAGAGAGTACAGAGCTCCTTCAGACTCACTCTGGAGCATTACTGCAGCTCCAAACAGCCGTCCCCAGTTCCTACCTGTACCACTGAATGCAGGGGTGACTGGGCAGGTTTCACTTTGCCATCCTCCATCAATCCAGTCGCCACAAAACTGAAGCCTCGGACGAGCTGATGGGCCCCTGCACTCGGGGGGATGCCTGGGGAATCTGCAACAGGAGTTGAGAGACAACTTGAAGAGGGCTGGTCCTGTGGAAGCAGAAGCCTTCCCCTTGCTCCCCAGGAGCTGTGGCTGCTCTTTAGGTTATTCAAGACTCAAGCCACACCGTGCAGCACCCAGCTCACCCCTAACACCCCAAATATCTACATCCAGCTGCCCTCCTCAGTCCTGCCACCACCCCGAGCTGGCAGCAGAAGCAGGAGGCAAACCTTGCCCTGCACTGGCACACCAGTATTGAACAGGACAGAATCATTTCAAACAGGCAACTTTGGCTTGGCCTGAACCCACACAAACCTTTTGGTGTACGCGACGTAAATTCTGTGTCAAAATAAAAGGTGTCATCTGGCTGCCCCACTGCAGGCTTGAAGGGGGGTTTGATCTCCCTGCGGTACAGCTTCTGCAAAACACAGGCAGCTGAAAAGGGCTCCGACAGCCCAAGGCTCCTGGACGTGCCCAGGAGGGTGCAAAGGCATGAGGAAAGGAATGAGAGGCCAAGAAGAGATGTTGTGACCCTAGAAGCAGCTCTGTGGCTCAGCATTGCACTGCAGCTTGGCAGTCTGAGGGAAGATTTCCTGGCCAGTGGGGTGCTTTTGAGTCAGTCTGGGGAGAAATACTACAAGTTCTACCCTATATTAAATCAAGACAAAAAAGTGTTCTATATGCAACTTGGCCCCACTCCTAAAGCAGTATCCACAACATATTTACTTCACTGGGCTCTTCCTCCTCCTCCTAACTCCCACGAGGACTTTGCTGACACAGATCTCCTCAGGGACAGCCAGAGGAGATGCCCTAGGAGGACATCCATATCCCAGCACTCCCACAAGTGGCCTTCTGAAATTGCTTCTTGAAGTAAAAATTTGAAGTAAGCTTTCCTAGCACTGCTGGAGGTTCAGTATAGCAGCTTGCTGGGGGCCTCAGAAGCACCAGAAGATTGATCTTCCAAATCCCTTACCAACTATGGGAAAATGGGGAAGGACCCAAATGCCATGGGAAAGCAGGGAGTTGGCCAGAAGCAACTGGGAAGTGCTGGCTCAGTTATCACCCTGCCAGAAATGTTTCCCCAACTCCCTCCCTCTTTATACAAGACAACCTGTGTTGTGCCAACCCCCAATTAAAACCTGCACCTCCCTGCTGAGAGATGGGTAGATTCAAACCCAGGTGAGATCCTGGGTACTTCAGGTGTGAGACAGTTGCTCACATGACAAATAGCATTTGAGTTTTGGGAAGGATTATTGGAACAGATGGAAACAGGGCCTGGCAGCTCTCCCATAGCTGGTCAAGAACCCAACCGTGTGATCCCTGTGGGCAGCAGAACTGGTGCTGGGTGGTGAAGGAGTTTGCTCTGGTGTCTCTGGCACTCACATTCCAGTCAATGGTGGAGTAGAAAGGATGGCGCTTGATCTCTTCTGCCCCATCTGGTCCAGAACCTGAAAGATGCACCCATGGAGTGAGTTGCACCGACAAGGTGAAGGCCACGACCACGTATGCAGCACAGGTATTCCAGGGAGCCTGGCTGTGACTAAACCAGCCCATCAGCCAAGCACAAGTGTGAACATGCTGCTGACCCAGGAGGACGTGAGAGGCCCCGAGACAGCATCAGGTGTACTCAGAAACTGAAAAAAAAGAGTCTTACCTAATCGGTTGGATGGATTCCTTTTGAAAAGGGCTCGCAGGAGGCTCTGTGCTTCAGAGCTCAGGAACTGTGGCATGCCCAGCTTTGCTCTGAGGAGGAAATTATGCAACCAGTTGCAGGTTTAAAGAAGTCAACTCACAAGCCCACGGCAGCACCTCCACCCCCGAGAGCATAATCATCTGATTGGCATTTATGCTGCACTCTTCAGACTAACTGTTGGTGCAAATCCACTTGCCAAATCATGCCCCTGAGTTGTGAGAACCCTCCAATTGCAACACGCTCAGAGAAGGAGCAGAAGCTCCTGTCCATGGGAGACAAATTTCTCTTACTTGAGGATGAGGGTCATGGTCTCCTTGCGATCCTTCCCCTGGAAGGGCAGCGAGCCGGTGAGCATCTCAAACTGGGGGGGAAAGAGAAGGGCAGGTCACGGCCAAGGGCTGCACAGATCCCACTGCACCTGCATCTGGGAGCTCACCCAAGCGAGCAAAAAGCTTCTGAGTGATCAAAAGCCTGGCTCTAAATGATCCCAGACAGCATATTTCTCAGGGGGAGCTCAGTTCACGAGGTCTGCAGGGGGAACGTGTTCCAGCCAGTGCCTGCTCTTGTGGGAGCCCTCAGCTTCAGCAACCACCAGATGGTGGCACCAGATCTGCAGCCATCCCAGCGCTGGGGTGGACACGGACACCCCAAGGCACCCCACGCCGTGCACCCCACGCTGCACAGCCCCACAGGCAGCAGCCTCAGAGGCTCTGCCTCCCCTGAGAAACATGTCCTGGTGGGGTGCCTGGACACCCTGGGACAGCCCTTTCTGGGGGGCCTGCAGAACGTCCCCAGGCCAGCCCATGTCTGAGCCCTGCAGAACCACGCAGGGGAGTTTCAGAGCTGCTGCTGGAGCAGTGCTGAGCCAGGTCCCTGGACAGGCAAGCTGGGTACATACCATCAACACCCCGTAGGACCACCAGTCAGCACTGTGGGAGTGGCCCTGGCGATTCACCACCTCTGGTGCCATGTATTCCACTGTCCCACAGAAGGAATAGGCTTTCTTCTCATGGTCAATAGCCTCCTTACTCAAGCCAAAATCTACATAAGAGAAAAACCATCAGCATGTACCCACAGGCTCTGAGCAATCCCACAGAGCAGAGGCCCAAGAGAACTCCATATCTCAAGGACCAACCCTGCTGGAGCACAAGGCTTTCGTGTCGTCCCTTACCTGTGAGTTTGATGTGCCCTTCTTCATCCAAAAGAATGCTACAGCAAGGATGAAAAAACCCAAGTTGTTACTGTCTGCAGTAAGGGCTGGTGAGAACAAGCACACACAGCAGAGGCTGGTCTGAGATGCTCCCAGAATCCAGAGGAGAAAGTGTCTGTCTCTTCCCCCAGAGCTTTAAGCTCCATCAGCAAGACATGAGTGGGACAAAGAGCAGCTCTCTTCTCTCTATGCCCTAAGCTGTGCATTGAATGCACGACCCACACAGCTCACACCACTTCTGATCCCTCACACACCCCAGGTAAGAACACACAAGTCCTGCAGCAGGAGCAGAGTCACAGACTTGTTTGGATTGGAAGAGACCTCAAAGATCATCCAGCCCAACTGTTCCCACTGCCCCGTGTCCCTCAGCACCACATCTCCACAGCTTGGAAACCCCTCCAGGGGTGGGGACTCCACCACTGCCCTGGGCAGTCAGGGACAGACTTTGGGGGCACTTTTGGGGAACAAATTTTTCCTAATATCCAACCTAAACCTCCCCTGGGGTAACTTGAGGCTGTTTCCTCTTGTCCTGTCCCTTGTCCCTTGGGAGCAGAGCCCGACCCCCCCCTGGCTCCAGGCTCCTGTCAGGAGCTGTGCAGAGCCAGAAGGTCTCCCCTGCGCCTCCTTTGCTCCAGGCTCAGCACCCCCAGCTCCCTCAGCTGCTCCTCCCCACACTTGGGCTCTAGACCCTTCCCCAGCAGCTCCGTTGCCCTTCTCTGGCCACGCTCCAGCCCCTCAAGGTCCTTCTGGGAGTGAGGAGCCCAAAACCGACCCCAGGATTTGAGGTGTGGCCCCAGCAGTGCCTCTCCAGCACACATCTCTGCAGAGGCCCAGGCTGGATCTTCCTGGTGCCTTTTTCCTCCAAAGTCTCTCAGCTGCCTCGAGCTGGAGCCTGGAAGCTGGAGCCTGCCCAGGATTACTGCTCAGCCATGTGGTGCACACTTGCTGCCTCCACAGTGCTCCTGGCCACAACTGCTGATCTGAGGAGCAGGGTGGCACTGGCACCTTCCATCTGCCTGGCCTCGGGCACCATTCAGCCTTGCTTTTGAGGAATTTTGCTGACTACAGGCTTGGGACTGAGCTGAAGGATTTCTAGGATGCTGTGACTTGGTTCCCTGCCTCAGCTCTGCCACACGTACTTCTCTGGTTTGAGATCCCTGTAAATGATCCCCAGGCTGTGCAAATGGTCAAGCCCCAGAGCCAGCTCTGCTAGGTAGAACTTCACGTCCTCCTCGGTGAACATGACCTGCAGGGAGGGGGAGGAAGCAGACAGGCACTGGGGTTACAAGGCTGGCAGCAGGACCATCTCTGCTGCACCCATGCAAGACCTTTCACCTCCATGCTGCTCCCTCCTGCCCTTTCCCACACAAGTTTCCCAGGCTTCACATGACATCCTGAACCATTAGTTAAGCAGCAACACCAAAAAAAAAACCCCAAACCAGGCTGCTAAGCAGCAGACAGGTCTTTAAAAAACTCATTTATGTTCACCAGGTTATGATCCCAGTTGTCTTCACCTGGCACAACTCCTCATCACCCCTCCCCTCATCCCAGTGAGGTGACACAACCAGCCACCACTGCAGCAGTACAGGGTCCTTGCCTGGTTTTGTTGTCAGCAGAGGTGAGAGCAGCCTCCTGTGCTGCTCTTTTTTTTGCCAGGGTCCCTGAGACTTCGTCTCCTGTTGCCAGCTCTGGCCTTGGAACAGGTTGGAGATTGTTTCTACCCCTCTCAAAGACTTGGCAAGGGTCGATCACTTCTCCAGGCAATTAAGCACAGATGAAGTGAGAGCCTCAGCACCCCCCCGAGGTGCCAGAGCATACCCACCTCTTTGGAAAGCCGAGTGAAAAGGTCACCTCCTCTGAGGAAATCCAAGATGAGATACAGCTTCCCCTCTGTCTGGAATGCTGAAACACAAGCCAGAGCAGGAGTCAGGCCCCCCCCTGCTGAGGGAAGTCTCCAGGGTGTGACATTAATCACCTAAATCCCAGTGGCTCCAGTCATGCAGATGCCCTGCGTGGTTACTAGGTCAAACACAGGTAGGGCTGAGTATCTGGGCACTTGAGACAGCCTGGCCATGATGCTGAAATGGGAGCTCTGCAGAAGATCCTCATTTTATGGGGCTGGCTCCTGCCCAGCCAGTGATGCCCTACTGCAGGGGCTGTTTTCCCATGAGAGGCACTGGTCCCTTCACAGGGGAAGAAGCTGTCCTCACCATCCCCAAGTCTGAGCATTAATCCTGCCAGACTCTGCCTTGAGCAGTTAACTCTGCTTTCTCAGCTTCTCCTGATTCAGGGTTTTAATCCCAAGGATTAAACCTCTTTAAACCTCTTCTCCTGCTCTGTGCTCAGTTCCCCATCCAAGAGCTAGAGCAGAGGAGGGACCCAGGACCTTCCCAGGGGAGGATTTGTGTTGAGGGGCTTGTGAGGGGTCC